ACCTCATGTTCCTTTTTCCTGCTGTTCTTTGGGGCCAGTTTTTCCCCGTACCTGTGTGTGGACACAGACGATCCTGCCGCATGTTTCCTGTTCCCACGTGTTACGAACCCCCCTGTGTGATCCCCACCGTCCTGCCCAGCTGCTGGGTGGGACTGCAGCTCCCTCAGCTCAGTGCGCACCTGACTGTCGCTGTGACTCACATTGATTGGGAGCGGGATTTTTCCCATTCACCCCCGCACTGACTGCTGGGGGAACGGTGGCCTAGTGGTTTGGGGGCTAGGCCAGGCGTTGGAAGATCTGGGTTTGATTCCCTGTGTGACCCTGGACAAGTGTTAATCTCTCTTTGCCTCAGTTTCCCATCTGTACAATGGTGAGAACAGTAATTCCCTCTCTCACAAGGCTGCTGGGTGGGTAAATTCATTAACAGGCTGTGAGGTGTTCACATATTGTGGAGATGGGGGCCAGAAAAGACCTTACCTAGATAGGGCAGGAGATTCTTTTATGTTGGGGGCTGATCTAGTTCCCCCAGACCACAGGACTCCTCTCCCCCATGGGCTGCTGGGTTCATTCCGTCCATATCTGAGCTCATCATGAATCATTAGTGAGCGAAGATTCAAAAATCCTTCAGAGGAAATGAGTAAAGCTGGTGGGAACATTTTCCATCAAAATATGTAGCTTCGTTGAAGCTAAAATGTTTTGCATAGTTGTATTACTCATAGACTTTAAGGTCAGAAGGGACCATCATGATCATCTGGTGGGAACATTTTCCATCACAGTATGTGGTTTCATATCAGCGAAAATGTTTTGCACAGTTGCATCAATTTTGACAGGAAGGTTTCTGAGGTCCACGACTCTCTGCTCACTTCTGAGGAGAGAGAGGGGAGCATATGTCTACACTGCGGGAAAAGGTGTGTTCTCAACTGGGGTGGGTGACCCGCATTAGCTCAATTTGCGTGAAAATAGCAGTAAAGATTCGGCAACTCGGGCTAGCAGCTCACATTAAAGCCTAACTTGGGGGACTAACCCCAGTTGCTTTAAAGGTCTTCACTGCCTTTTTAACCCAAGTTAGCTAATACAGGTTAGCTGTCCTGAGTTCAGAACACCATTTTTTTTCTCTGTAGGTCCACACTGGAGAGAGAAAAAAAAAAAAAGCACTTTAGAAAAATTTGTGGGTAGGTTTCTTGTGTGAAGAAAGATACTCTGGAACAGCCCAGTCTCTTGGGCAAACATAGGCATGCAGGCTTAGTGTCTTGTGTCTGGGAGAGGGCACAGGCTGGGCAGGGGGCACAGACTGCCAAGTGAGGGTGAGTCCCACACTCCTGTCCTTTCTCCCATGGTAGCTTGGAGCCAGTCACCCTTGGGACATTCTGCGTGTCAACTCAGGGAGAGTCTGGGAAGGAGCAGTGAGTGGAATTAAACAGCCCCATTCATCATGTGGCACAGGTCTGGCAGCTGGGCTAAGTAAGCCACTATCTGTGCAGTCATCCCTCATGCAACCAATGAAATTGTTGCATGCAAATTGGGTCTAGAGTAAAGATGTTGATTGGCTGCGTTACCTCTGACATCACAATGGTCTAGGCCAGGGGTTCTCAACCTTTTTCTTTCTGAGGCTGTGTCTACACTGCCCCTTTCAGCGCTAAAACTTTAGTCATTCAGAGGTGTGAAAAAACACCCCCCGCCCCCCGAGCGACAAAAATATTAGTGCTGAAAAGTGCCAGTATAGACAGCTCTAACGTGGGCAGTGTAGACATTCCCTGAGGCTCCCCCCCGCCCCCAACATGCTATAAAAACTCCACGGCCCACCAGTGCCACAACAACTGTTTTTCTGCATATAAAAGCCAGGACTGGCGTTAGAGGGTAGCAAGCAGGGCGGCTGCCCGAGGTTTCAGCTTCAGCCCCAGGTGGCAGGGTTCAGGGCCGCAGGCTTCACAGCGGCGCTTCGGCTTTCGGCCCTGGGTCCCAGCAAGTGTAACACTGGCCGTGCTTGGTGGACCCCTGAAACCTGCTTGCGGCTCCCAGGAGGCCCCGTATCCCTGGTTGAGAACCGCTGGTCTAGGCTCTGGGCATGGCATAGATCTATCCCTTACTGTAGCTGCACACTGCACGGGTGTAAGCTGTAAAGTCTGAATGGCTGAGAACTTAAAAATTGGGCGGTAACAGTCCGGGGCTGTCAGTGGTGAATGAACCTGGTGATATTCCGAACAAAAAGAGCTTTCGGCCATATTAGTAGCTACTTCCATTGCTTCCCAGTGACTCTGCAGACATTGTAGGCTCCAGAGCGACACAGACAGACTGACACTGCTGGGGTCCTATTCCATAGAGAGATAACGGCAGCCATTCAGCACAATGCTTCTTGCACCAACGCAGCTCAGACCCTGGTGCAGCTACTGACTCTGGGTACCCCACTCTCAGGAGAATTAAGGGCTTTTTCTCTTTCAGGGAATGTCTCTAGCTGCAGGCTCAGGAAATGTGCTGCATGTACAGTCGCAGTGAGCGTTGTACTTGTCATTCTGATTGTTGCTGTTGTTGTTCTGGCAGGTGAGTGGCTGATCCCAGTGTCTGTGTGTTCCATTTACATGGAGCTGGCCACGCTGCTCAGGGCTGTGAAAAATTCCATGCCCAGAGCACCACAGTTAGGTCAACCCAACCCCCGGTGTAGACACGGCTGGATCGACAGAAGGGTCCTTCCATCGACCTAGCTACCGCCTCTCGGAGAGGTGGATTAACTACCGCGATGGGAAAAACCCTTCTGTTGATGTAGGAAGTTTCTACGCTCCGGCACTACTGTGGAATGGCTGCAGCAACGTAGCAGTGCCATTGTCGTGCAGACATACCCAGAGTCACGGGCTGTCTCCTCTCGGGCATCAGCCGTGGGGGCCAGGAACACATCTTCAGACTCTCCCTCCTGCTCCCTTCTTGAGCCTTGTTTGTGATGACAAAACTGATCCTTTAAACTGTCTTCCTGGGTAAGTGTGTATCATTGCAATGAAAGGAAGAAACATCAGTTCCTGAGATAATACAAACAGGAAAGGAATTTCTCCTCCAAAGAGCGTACAGTCTCGGGGATGTCTGCGCTACGGAGACTACACTGACATAGCTGCGTCACTCTGGCTATGCCGGCATAACGCCATAGTATAGACGCAGCCTACGCGGACAAAGATTTTTCCTTCGGTGTTGGAACACCGCCTCCCTGAGCAATGTTACCCACGTCAACACCAGCCTTCTTCCGTCAACATAGCTGCGTCTACACTCGAGGTTATGTCGGTTTGGCTATGTCACTCGGGGTGTGTGTGTGTGTTTTTTCACACCCCTGACCGAGGTAGCTATGTCAACCTAACTCTTAAGTGTAGACCAACCCTCAATAGACTAAACAAACTGAGACCGAGGGCAGGAGAAAGAGAAACCATGAATAAAGTGGCCTTATGGAGATGATTAGCTGGATGTGGCCAAAGCTCTTACACGTTTTAACCCATACGGAAATGTGGCTCTGTAGATATTACTAAACATTGTACAACCACATCATAATAGTTAGTTACTTGTAGTTATCCAGAGGAGCTGTATTTCTGGTAACCCCCAAGCATGGGACAAACCACAGGTAAAGGTCGCACTTTGGAGCCTTTCCTCATTTCCATCTGGTGGGTATTTGCATCTGGGGGAGCAGGGGAGGGAAAGGATGGGCTCTGACCCTTCTGTTGCTCTCTCAATTTCAGTGCAGGTACTTAAAGCACAGCCCCAGTGCATGGCCTGGTGCCCAGACGGCTGGATCGGATACCGAGGGAAATGCTACTATTTCTCCGAGGCTCAAGAGAACTGGAACAACAGCCAGAGACTCTGCTCTGCACTCAGCGCCTCCCTGGCTATGATTGACAGTGAGCAGGACCTGGTGAGAAGGAAAACAGACCCATTCTGGGGGCAATAGGCTATTCTAGAGTTATGCTCAAGGTCTTCTAGGCGCTCCGTGGCATAGGCCCAGGGTGTCTAAAAGAGCCTAAGGCTCCAGGATGAAGACCTTGGTTGACATATCTGCTCCCCTAGCACCATTTAAGGGCAAAACTTCTCAGTGAGGGAGATGCAGCTTCCTCGTTGGCTGGTCCTAGCTTGGGGAATGGACTCTCCCAGGAACTAAGGCCCGTCCAAAACCTCACCACCTTCTGCTCCAAGAGTGAGGTGCACTTTGAGCAGTCTTCTCGAATATCAGCAGTGATGAGCTGCCAAAATCTTAGGAACCAGTTCCCTACCGGGTCTTCAGCGGCATGGCTCTGGTGGGTGAAGGACCCGCCGCCGAAGACCCGGTACGGAACCGCCCGGTGAGTACATCTCTCACCCCCGCATCCAACCCCCACCCATGTCCTGCCCCTGACTGCCCTCCTCAGAAACCTCAACCCATCACCACCATCCCGCTCCTTGTCCCCTGACCGCTCCTTCCCAAGACCCCCCACCCTAAGTGCCTCGCAGGACTCCACTCCCTACCCAACTCGCCCTGCTCCCTGTCCCCTGACTGCCCTGACCCCATCCACCACCACCCCGACAGACCCCCGGAACTGCCATGCCTACCCAACCACCACCCCATTCCCCATCCCCTGACCGCCCCCCCAGAACCTCTGCCCGATCTAACCCCCCCCCACCCACTCTCTGTCCCTGGGACTCCCTGCCCTGCCTTATCCAATCCCCCCCCAGCCCCGGACTCTTACCATGCCGCTTACCCCCACCAGAGCCACACCGCCCAGCCAGAGTCGGGGCCTGGGCCCGGGCCGGAGCCACGCCGCCCGGGCCGGAGGGAGCCGCGGGGCCGGAGCCGGACTGGGCCACGCCGCGCCTCCCTGGAGCCCTCCTTGCGCCACCCCCCCTGCCCCAGCTTACCTCCCGCTGCTTGTTTCCAGGCTTCCCGCGCGAACATCTGATTCGCGGGAAGCAGGGGAGGGGGAGGAGAAGGGGGTGGAGCGTTCAGGGGAGGAGGGGGAGGTGAGCTGGGGCCAGGGGCGGACAGATGCCGGAGCTTTGCCAGTTGTTAAATTTAAAAGACCTTTTAGAATCAGTTGCCCTGCGTGGGACAACCGGTTCTAAAAGGGCTTCTAAATTTACAACCAGTTCCTGCGAACCGGTGGGAACCGGCTCCAGCTCACCACTGGATATCAGTGTAAACAACTGGTGAGGGTGTCACTGATTACACTCTCTGCTCGTCTGCAGAGGATCTGTGCTGACTGGAGAGGGTTGCTCCATTAGCTCCAGCTGGCGTGACTTGGGCTTTTTCATTATGGAGGTTCCCAGTGTGTCAGCCAAGCTGGCCTCCTTCACATAAACATGTAGCATATGCACTTCAAATAACAAAACCCTACCAAAACAAACTGCTCCACTACACACACACGACTCTCTCCCTTGGGAGAGAGAACGAATCACATGTAACGGGTT